AAAAAATTCCACGCCTACGGGATGTGCCACGCCCTCTTTTATAAACTCATTCATATACACCTTACTATAAGCACCTACCGTAGCTGTGCCTGCATACCAAATTTCAAGTTTGTGGGGCTTATGGTTCCGAAGTTTTAGCTTATTCCACGCCTATGGGATGTGCCACGCCCCCTTTTACAAACTCATGCATATATACATACCTTACTATAAGCACCTACTGTAGCTGTGCTTGCATACCAAATTTCAAGTTTGTGGGGCTTATGGTTCCGAAGTTATAGCTGATAAAAAATTTCACGCCTGTGGGTAGTGCCACGCCCCCTTGTCGAATCCCGATTTTTTTTCTCCCTAATATAGGACCAGGTGTCATGGCAATACTCTATCCAAATTTCGTTCGATTCTGTCCGTCCGTTTAAGCTGCAACCTGGCACATACATACGTACACACATATTTCCACAAATATATAGTAGATATCTATCCTTCTCTTAGCGTAAAATAATTTTTAAGAAAATCTCGACTCCAGTGCCTCCTATCGTGTAATTTTTTAGTCCAAGTATTCCTTTTCAATTGGTTAACTTATGTTCAAAATATGAGCCAAATCGGCAAGTAAATGCAATTTTTAGGAATATCCTGACCCCGGCGCCACCTAGCGAGCAAATTTTTGGTAGAAATATTTCTTCTCGGGGTACTGATATATGTTCCAAATATGGACTAAATCGGTACAGCCGTTTAGTAGTTTCGTGACATTCATTATACGGAAAACTCTATGAAATTGTGAAATTGTGACGTCTCAGCCTTCTTCATTTTTCGTCAACAACAACAAAAAGTTTAAAATTTTTTTTAAATTGAAAAACTTTCCACACAGAATCTCCAAAAGAGTACTTTTTACATAATTGAAATCGGTTCAGCTGTTTGGTCAGGCATCGCCGTCATACGGAAAACATTTAATTTTTATATATATAGACTAGAGTGCCAGTTACTGTCGAAATTCGACAGTTTTTCTAGTTTTAGAAGCCTTGGAGAGGTTTTCTAACTTAACACTTAGCAAAACTTATACGGTACAAATTAACTAACCGGAAAATCTTCTGCTAAAACATAACAAAATTGTTTTTTTATCTGAGAAGGTCTTTGGAGGACTTCGGCAGGACTTGGAATTGACCCGATACATTCAAGTTTATCGCTAAATTTCAATGATTTGATACATATCGATAGTTCGATGAATTTCAAGAATGCTAAAATTCGATAACTCAACAAAATTCGTTAACTCGACCAATTTCGATAACTGTGAAATTCGAGGGCTCGATAAATCTCGATAACTCAAAAATGTAAAAACTTTGGATACCGTTATAAATTTTTACTTTTGACTTCTCCACATTTTTCGGAAACTATCTAAACATTTTGATAACTCGTTACACTCTGTTAAGACGATTAAATTCGATAAGCAGTGACAAATCAATAACCTTGAAATTTCGATAAATCGATATATTTTGAAAATTCCATAAACTTCGCTTCGTTGAACCAACCAATTTCAGTAGATCAATAATTATCGATAACTCTGTAAGTTGAAAGAACTCCATGCATTACGACACCGCGATAAATTTCCTTAAGTCTATAAATAATGATAATTCAATAAATATCGATAACTTGATACATTTCTTTGACTTGACAAATTTCGTTAATCCCACACGTTTTTATAGCTCGATAACCATCCGTAAATTTTGACAACTAAGTTTCTGTGTCTATAAATTTCGACAACTCAGTAAACATTGATCAGTTTGAATAATTTGATGCGTTGCGATAACTTAATAAGCATGGATAAATTTCGATAATTATAAACTTCGATGATTCGATAAATTTCAGTAACCTTTATGGCTGATTTTATTTCGATTCCTATCGGAAAATTTCAACTCTGTTAACCTTATTCTTTTGTATTTCTCATTGTCTCCATTTTCGCCATATCGCGATTTTCGTTTTTATCTTCACGTTGCCTTTTTTATCTTCATCTTTATCACTTGTTTCTTCATCTTCATATTTATCTTTATTTCAAGGTTTAATTTTAAATACGAAGTAAAACAAAATGCGTAACGGCTTAAATTGAACAGGTTGCAAAAACAGCCATACACAAATATGAAAATTTTTAAACGACGATTTTCAACCAATTTCGAAACTATAAAAACTCTCCTCATCTACAGAAAATTA